CTGGCCTCTCTGTTGTGCCTAGGTGGGGCTGTGACGTGTTGATCTTCCACGGCCGGGAATGACCCAAAAAAGTGTGTCCGGTCAAATGGGATCGAGCGTGTTGGGTTATGTGGTGCACCCCTGCAGGGAAGTTAATCTATTCGAATAGCCGTGATCTTCGGTAACAGGACGACTTGGAGTTGTACCTTGACCTTATGACAACTAGAACCGGATACTTAATAAAACACACCCTTCCAAGTGCCAGATACAACCGGTGATCGCTCTCTCACAGGGCGACGAGGGGAGGATCATCGGTTAGGATTATGCTACGTGATGATACTTGGAGGACTTCAGTCTACTCTCTTCTACATGCTGCAAGACGGAGGCTGCCAGAAGCGTAGTCTTCGAAAGGACTAGCTATCCCCCTCTTATTCCAGCATTCTGCAGCTCAGTCCACATATGATAGCCTTATTCCAGTTGATACCAATGCATACATATGTAGTGTAGCTCCTTGCTTGCGAGTACTTTGGATGAGTACTCACGGTTGCTTTCTCCCTCTTTTCCCCCTATCCCTTCTACCTGGTTGTCGCAACCAGATGTTGGAGCCCAGGGGCCAGACGCCACCTTCGACGACGACTCCTACTACACCGGAGGTGCCTACTACTACGTGCTGCCCGCTGACGACGACCAGGAATAGTTTAGGAGGATCCCAAGCAGGAGGCCTGCGCCTCTTTCGATCTGTACCCCAGTTTGTGCTAGCCTTCTTAAGGCAAACTTGTTTAACTTATGTCTGTACTCAGATATTGTTGCTTCCGCTGACTCGTCTATGATCGAGCTCTTGTATTCGAGCCTTCGAGGCCCCTGGCTTGTAATATGATGCTTGTATGACTTATTTTATTTGTAGAGTTGTGTTGTGATATCTTCCCGTGAGTCCCTGATCTTGATCGTACACGTTTGCATGTATGATTAGTGTACGGTTGAATCGAGGGCGTCACATGTTACCTCCGATTCGACCCGCTGGGGCCGACGAAGAAGATGAGATGACCCTCAGCACCTGCGTAAACTGGCCCCTGCTTTGTCCGAAGAGCCAGATTCGTTTGGGGGCGGGGGACACCACCCCACAGACAAGACTGCCAGTCGTGCCGGCGCCAAGCCATCGCAAGAACGCCGCAACGCTACCGGACCTACCGGACATCCCTATGACACAGGATCTGGACAGCCCTATGGCACAGGATCCGGACGGTGACGACAACGATGATGGTACATTTACCAAAGTTGATAAGTACTTTGCTAACATGGGTACGCTGACGAGTTCTGCGGGCCTCTTTCTCAAGAACCCAACCAAGACGACCGCGATCTAGCTGGTACGGCGGAGAAATCCAATTGCAACATGCATCGTCTGGCGTTCAGTTCTCAGGACACGCCTCCAGCTCCCGCCTTCACCGAGCCTCAGATAGCTGAGGTGTGAAATATTATCAGCCCCAACACGCTCAAGAAGGCGGTCTATGAGCAGAACTCGGTCCCATTACAAGAGATCAAGAAGAAGGGACGGAAACGAAAGACTAACAAGGGCGCCGGTGCGAGCCAGCCGGCACCGAGTTCGATCCGTGCTCAGGACGGGCCATCTTCACCTAAGGATATCTCGAGGAGGGTGCATGTGGCGGGTAGGGCGATGCTACCGCCAAATATGCTGAATGCTGCAACCGGTGCTATGCGTAGTCTGCACGACAGTGTTCTTTTTTTGGAGAAGCGGCGTCTCAGAGAGAAGGATGTGGCATACCCAGTTTTTGTGGCCAAGGTGCCAGAGGGCAAGGGCTTTGTCGATGGCGACATCGGGGGTACGATCGTCCTGCGGTTTGATGACATCTTTGCTATGTTTAACCTTCATCCGCTGCACTACACCTTCGTTCGGATGTTTTCGCTGAGTATGGAGATGTGGATCATTAGAGACAAGACCCCGGACATCGTGATAGTCGACCCCTTCTACATGTGTGCCAAGCACTTGAGCAGCGCTGGGGACCGCCAAGTTGCGAGTTCACACCTCGAAGGCATCATTCTGGCAAACCCAGATAAGGATAACTTCCTTGTGGCTTACTTTCCCGAGTAAGTCATCCCTTAATCGCCCGGTAACATATGATTTCTTAGATTTCGATCGTTCTTTTTTTTTTCTAACATTCCGTGTTCTGTGCAGTGACACACATTGCACACTCATCCTTTTAAGCCTGAAATATTCCATGGCCACGTATTTAGACCCGAACCGTAACTCCAAGATAGACTACACAAATGTCAAGAAAGTTCTTGATGATGTTCTCCCCGCCTACGCCAAATCTGGAGGCACCTTCATCAGGGCAGTTCGTAAGTACGGCAAGCAGCCGCCTGGCGGTCAGAAGGATGCCTACTACGCCCTCCATCACATGCGGGCGATCGTAAGGGACCATCATCAACTTCTGCTACCAGATAATCTCAAAGATTGGGCCGCGAACTTGTCGGCAGTCCAGGACGCGGACCTCAGACAAGAATTCTTTCGCATTCAGTCGGAGTTTGCGGACATCATCCATCAAGATGTCCTTCATACCTCGAGGCAGTTCTTCCTCAGATATCAACCGTCCAATAGTGAGATAGATGAAATGCTACAAATGCAGGGTGACAAGGACCGCGATTTCATGACCATCACGACAGACGGCGGCTTCATCCACGTTCCTGTCCAATGAGTCGAGTCGAAAGTAGTGATGTGTAGTTCTGAAACATTGATTGGCTCATGTTGTAATTATACTTTAATGAATTCGTATGTCTCTTTGGTTTGGACAGTCGTTCAACTTAGATGTAATCGATGCTATTTATTAGTAGGACCATGAATCGTGCTATTAATGTCTTGCTTTTCTCTTCCGATCCTTTTGTTGCATACTTACATATTGCTTATGTATTGTCTGTTGTTTGGCTTGTGCATAGAGATGCCGTCGTATGTCGTGTACAAGGGTAAGTTCCCGGAGTTTACGACGACTGGGAGGAGTGTCGGAGACAGGTTCACCGTTTCAGCGGTAACAGTTACAAAGGGTACACCACTAGGGCGGAGGCCGAATGTAGATACGCCCGCTATCTAGAGGGAGAGAGGAGGGAGCGTTGGAGGAACCGGATGAAGTCCAGTTTGATCGCGATGATGCTCATCGTGATGACCACAGCTCTCTTTTATGTGATGGTAGTTTAGATGATCGATATCGACTTGTAATGTGAAGGCAAACTCGATACTCGCGGTCTTGAGACTTGTAATGTTTTATCTTTGTTCGATCTTTTGAATTCGGAGACAAACTTGATGAATTGTATTCGGAGACTAATCTTCTATTGTATTCGATGAATCTGATGTTGCTGTGTGCTGCTGTCTATATTCTGTCCAATAATATATTTTGTAACCTGTGCAAAAATCAGAAAAGCAAAAAAAAACCTAATATTCATACTAATGGCGCACCACACAAGACACTAATGGCGCACTGTGATCATCACACTAATGGCGCATTAACTGCTGGTGCGCCATTAGAATACCAAAGCACATGGTACATATGGCCCCTTGGGAGGCATTCTAATGGCGCAATATGTGGTGCGCCATTAGAACACCAGATACTAATGGCGCACCGGTGGTGCGCCATTAGAATTTAATTCTAATGACGTGATGCCAGTGGCGCACCGGTAGTGCGCCATTAGAAGGCAAATTCGGTGCGCCACTAGCATGCCTTTTCCTAGTAGTGCTACAAGCTCCACTATTTCACAATTGAAACTTCCAGGAGCTCTAGAGAGGACACGAGCCCTACAATAACTCTATCCAGCCGCACTAATGGTGTTCTGCTAGGTGCGGCAGCACCAATGCTAAGCCTGCAACCGAAGGCACATACAACATGAATTTTCTAACTAAAGAAACCTACCAGTCTACAGATAATGCACATTTAGTATGAAATATCTAGCTGCGGGCAACAAGCAATCTCCAAACACCAACACAAAATTCAGGTGTTTTTCGGACAGCAGAGAGCAACCAACAAGCAAACATAGGTGCAATACAACATGAATTTTGTAAATGCAGAGAGCAAATCAGCCTCCAAACCGCAGACACATATAGCATGAATTTTCTAGATGCATAGAGCAATCAACTCTCCCGCTAACTTCAGGATTTGTTTACTGATTTCTACTTTCTTTTTCCTAAATCTCTGAAAATCTGATGGACTGCAAGTTGGTATACCTTTTGTTCCACCAAGTGCTTGGGGATTCATCTTCTCCGTTGGCAGCTCCGACGTCGCCGGCGAGCTCTCCCTTCTGTTGGCCGCCGCTTCATGCGCGAACTAGATTTGTACGTCGCCACTGTCCACCGCTGGCTACCTCGCGCTCCGCCGGCTGGGCCACCTCCAAATCCCCCACCCCAGAGACACTCACAGCCACAGGAGCCGGCACCAAGTTTTCCCCAACCTCCTCAAGGACACTGGATCTATCTGAAATTTGAGGGAAAGCCGTCCGCAGGATCAGCTAAACCAGAATGCAAAAAAAAAAAATGAAGGCAGCATCACTGGAGAAGCAAACATCCACATATCTGCCGATTAGCTGCATCAGAAACCCCATGGTGTCTGGCCGCCGGCGCTCCTTGCCTCTATCTAGCAGTCCGCAGCTTCCAACTAAACCACGCCCTAGCCAAGAACACTCTCGTCCCTGCATTCATCTCGGGTCTGGATCCACTGGACGGAAAGCGAACTACCCGAGCCACGGATCAGACAGAACGTGGATTCTAGTCCGCGGCTCACCTCACCGTCGGTAGACGACTGTCCAACCTTTCGTCAGATCCGTACGTATTTCACTACAGGACTTGATTTTTTGGCACGCGCATAGAAAAAGAGCACGGATCTCTAAAGCGCGTACCAACGACCAAGATAGCGGGCTCATCTGAGCTCGGCTCAATTACTCCGTGTCCCCGCGTGCCACCACCCACTGCCGACACTTTCCCCGTCGCTTAGCCGCCGTGGTGCTGGTGCGCCACCGCATGGCCCATGGTGTATCCGGCGCGGCCATATAAGCCGGCCCAACCGGGGCCAGTTCACTCCCATCGTCTCTCCCTTCCTTCGCCCACTGCACTCCCACTCCTACGCTTCCCCGCCTCGATCGCCATTCCGTCGAGCACATCCCGGGCGACGCAGGCGGCCATGGAGGACGGCGGCGCGAGGGCTGCCGCGGTGCAGAAGCTGATGGCGGCCAAGGCCAAGTCCGGGAAGAGCTTCTCCGACATCGGGGCCGAGACGGGGCTCACCAACGTGTATGTCGCGCAGCTGCTGCGCCGCCAGGCGCAGCTCAAGCCCGACACGGCGGCCGCGCTGCGGGCGGCCATCCCGGCGCTCACCGAGGATCTCGTGGAGCTCATGATGCAGCCGCCCTTCCGGTCCTACAACCCGAAAATGGTCCACGAGCCCGCCATATACAGGTGCCACTCTTGCCACTGCTGTTTTTTTCAGTACAAGTTTAGCCCGTGATTGATATGATAAAGCAAGATACCAACTTGTTGGCGTCAAATGGGAAGAGATTGTGGCTGGATTGTGTCAAATGGGAAACTGCCGCAATGCTACTATGTTTATTTAACAAACATCAATCGGCTTAACTTTTCCTCACTGGTTATTTCATGGTTTACACTGAACACAGACTGAATGAAGCTATCATGCATTTTGGAGAGAGCATCAAGGCAATCATCAACGAGGACTTTGGTGATGGAATGTAAGAAGATTCACCGATTTAAATTTGAGTTTGCATTATTTTCTGGTTAATATTTGATGGACTGTGATATTTGGCACACGTGTGCCATATAAGCAAAACTGTCATACCTCTACTTCTTTCATTTTAAAGTACCACACGATCCCCCGTCCTTTGACCTCGCCTCCTCTCAAATGACCCCGGAGGCTCGTCCGAGAAACCTGTTTCTCCCGCACATCTCGCGCGCCCACCCCCGAGAAAACTGTCACTTCTTCACGTCTACCACATGATTTCTCCTCAGGACAAAGTTACCATGATATTCATATGCAAGTTATCATGCTTGTGTTGCATAACTTACCATACTATTTACATAGAACGTACCAGGTACTATGCTTCAACAACTACACCCCTTCAAAGTCACCACTATATTTTATACACAAGTTAGAAGGTTTTCGATGTGTAAAATACCGTGGTACTTACACATAAGTTATCAGGGTATATGTACATCAACCTTTCCCTGGTCAAAGTTACCATGGGGGATTGTACATGAATTACCAGGTCTACAGTTCGTATATTATCATGTTACTTGCACCTAAAAATCTGTGTGTGTTTCGGCAGCATTTTCCATAGGTCAAAAATTACCACGATGTTTTTGCGTAACTTATCACACCTATAGCACTTGTGCCCCTCATGACACTAAACATTATGTCACTTTCTCGTGGCACGCCATGTGTTGTGTTCATCCAAGAGGCCCACGCACGAGGCGAGTGTATGTCTTTAACAACTTATTTTCCTTTGGTAAAAAAAGTTACCATCATGTTTATATTGCAAGTTATCGGTTATGCGGTGCTTATATTATTATGTTATTTACACGAAAATTATTGGGGATGTTTTGAACAACTTTTTTCTGAGAGAAAAAGTTATCATGGTGATTCTAGGTAACTTATCAAGCCCGTAGTGCTTAAAATACCATGCTATTTACACAAAATTTATCAGGTGTATGTTTCAGCAAATTCTCCCCCACGGGTCAGAAACTTATCATGGTGTTTAGTTACTGCAGTGCATATATTTTCATGCTATTTACACATAAAAATGCCTGGGGAGGAGCTACCGTGCTATTTACACAGAAGATATCAGAGTATCTTTTCAAAAAAAAATCCCTACGGTCAAAGTTACCGTGGTGTTTCTACCTCAGTTATCATATGTGCGCTGCGTATATTACCATCTATTTACACATAAATTATCGGGTATCTTTTCACATTTATCTTCCCCAATGGTTAAAGTTACCACGATGTTTGTATCTAAATTATCAGGTCTATAGCGTGAATGTTATTGTGCTATTTACAGAAATTACCGGGGGCCGGGTTCAACAAATTTATTTCCAATGATCAAAGTTACCACGATGCTTGAAACAAAAAAAAATTCAATGCTAACATATTAAAGGCAAAAACATGTCAAAAATAGTATTTCCCTTAGCTTGTTCAATAATCAGTGTCACAGGTGAGGTGGTTTGTTCCCGTTGTTGATTACCTGCATACTAGAGATCAAATCCTAGTCCAAGCATTATTTTTGCCCGAAAATTGGGAAGTAGGAAGTCACGAGCGGGTGTGCCCGCGGGAAAGGAAGGAGATCGGGAGGCGTGCAGGAAAGGAAAGAAATCGGGAAGGAGGTCGGGGAGGACGTGCGGGAAAGGAAGGAGATCGGAAGGCGTGTGGCAATTTCGCAATCTGGCACACGGTTGCCATATACATATTTTGATATTTGATACGAGACAAATCATTGGTTGTCCAATTTATTTTGCATGTACATTAATAACTAAACCTGAAACTTAACAACTTGGAATTTCAGATGATTTGGATTCTTTCAAGACTTTGCTTTGTTTGTAGAACCTAAATAAACTTTCCAAAATGTCTCACATGTGCACAATTCTAAATCCAAATGTTATGCTCATTTCCGTGGAACTTTGTTGCATAATCAACGAAATGTCAAATAATAACACTTGCAAAATTCACTTGTTATCTTATCACTTTCAATTGCAGCATGTCGGCTATAGACTTCTACTGTACAGTCGACAAAGTTAAAGGGGCTGATGGAAAAGACCGTGTGGTGCTCACATTTGATGGGAAGTATCTGCCTCACACTGAACAGGTTTGTAATTCCTTCAGGTGTTCTCATCCTATTCTCTGTTCCTGATAACCCATTTTGCATCCATGTGTATACCGAATGAAGTGCGATTTCGGAGCCAAGATTCAGCCAAATCTCAGGGCCATTGTAGTTAAAACACCCTGAGCCCAGCTTGAAATTGCTAAAATTTACAAATTTACAAAAGATAAGATGTCCATACCCCCCGAGTGCAGAGAGATTATTTAATTGCTTCAAGTGCTGCTAGTTCCTAGTTCCTACAATTTGTCACACTGTATGACTATCAGCGAATCTTAGTTATAGATAACTGCTGAATGAAGAGACATAGTTACACAAATTCAAGCAGTTGTCCTATGTTTATCCCATAAGGTTACCATGCTCCTGGCTCTGAATTTGACAGATCGTTCTAAGCGTTTTATTCCTTTTTCTTTTCACATCTGCAGAAAGCCGCGAATATGATGTCGAAGTTGCCCTGCAAGGCACCTTGAGATAATGAGATGGCTGGTACTAGGAGAAGGGGGATATGTAGCTTCACTAATGTCTGCTTATACTTCAGACAAAAAAATTGAGTGTCTCTTTTCTAGTCTGAATGATCGACCAAATAAAGAGTTGTCATATAGTATGTAATGTCTGCTTGTATTTTGGACCTGGAACAGCATTCGACATGATTTTCCTCGTCTGAATGATCGACTAAATAAAGTGGCAATATAGTTTGTAATCCCTGCTTGTACTTCAGACTTGAAGAGTAACTCAGCATGGTTTTATAGGCTGGATTTTCGATAAGATAAACCGTCTTGTATTCATGTGTGCATGAATTGTTTCTGAAGCAAATCTACAGCTTGGTATCAACTATGATCTATATTGCATTTTATCGACGGATGTGTCAATGTGGCAAACTGTGCTGAAAAGGCGTAGTGAATACATAACATTTCTTTGAGCGAATCATAATACTTAACTAGCTAGAATGAGAAATTTTAAGAGGGCCCCTCTTACCTCCGAAAGGTAAGAGGATAATTTAATCTTAGCCGTCACTTGATTGAGGGCAATTTGTCTATATAAATATGGTAAATACAACAAAATAAATAGAAAACATTCTTGACAGATTCTGTGATCTCTCTTTCCTAAAAGAGATTTTGCGTCTAGTATTAAAAATACATACTTCCATTTATACTATGCATGTTCGTTGAAAAAAAACATGGCATACATGTTTTTTTTCTTTGAGATACAGGTGTATAATACAGTACATCTTAAAGTACAATTTTCTTAATCTTAGGACATTCCTTGGTTTTAAAATTAGAATCGTGTGATATATCATCATGTCAATGCCACTTCAGTATTCATGTGGCACACGTGGTTAGCAACTCAAACTTGATGATTTTTTCAAATATTGTTTATACTTAAGTATGCATATTGATAGTTTGTATGTGTATGCATTTCTAATATCAAAAATATGTTTCTCTATATTAAGATTAACATATAATCAACTTATTTATGTATTTCAAAAATTGTGTGTGCTATATTCATACGTATTTCTCATGAATGTCACATCATTTGCATAAATATTAGTACCATCTGGTAGGGCAATGAAAAAAATAGCGCGCTACAAAAAATAGCGTCGTCCTTGAAAATATGCTATTAGCGTGCTATTAGCGAGAGATTTTATATTGATCAATTTAGTGAGACAATTCTCTACACTCTATAGCGCGCTATTTTTTTTCAATGGGTAGAATACAGTGTCAACACTAAAAACATAAAAAAAAAACTTTACAGTGATGACTATTGCCTTGTGACCAAACTGGAAAGCAAAGATAACAGTAATTGGAATTTCTATATTTTTCTTTATCCGCCTTCATGTTTTACCTTACATTACGTAAGAGTAATATCAGCCTTCAGATCAGGAGAAAATAACAGCTCATATATATCGACTTAGGACTATCTTAAAACGGCTCAAGACTAGCACCAATTTAGGCCCACCACTTAATTGCAGGCCAGCCGAAACAATTGTTCATGTCGTTTAAATACCGTGGTGACATGCGGCGCCGTTTCCTCCGATTGTATTGGCGCGGCGGTCACGGCCAGCGCCGTTTCCTCCGACTGTGTTGCCCGGAGCACCGCCCGTCGGACGCTCTCTTCTGCCCATAAATACCGCGCACATGATCCATCAGAATCCACACAGCTCGAAGCATCCACACACCGCAGTCAAATCTCTCTATCAGTCCAGATGGCTTCCTCTTCGTCCTCAAGGCTGCTCGCGGCGGCGGTGCTGGCGGCGCTGCTCGCCGGCGCGATGTGCGGCGTGAAGGTGGCCTTCACGGTGGAGAAGGGGTCCGGCGCCAAGAAGCTGGTGCTGAAGATCGACTACGCCAGACCAGGCGACAGCCTCGCCGAGGTGGAGCTCCGGCAGCACGGCTCGGAGGAGTGGCAGCCCTTGACCAAGAAGGGTGGCTTCTGGGAGGTCTCGTCCACCAAAGACCTCGTCGGCCCCTTCAACTTCCGCTTCATGTCCGAGAACGGCATGAGGAACGTCTTCGACGAGGTCTTCTCCACCGATTTCAAGATCGGCGAAACCTACGCCCCGGAAAAGTGATCCTTCCGTCGGTGTGTCACATTAGTCGATTCGAGTTTTCCCTTGTTTCCGTTTCATTATATTTGCATGTATTCGCCCTCATGCGTGGATAATACATAATTATCGACGCCTATGAGGTGCGTATACATACGGTGCGGATGTGTTTGCTCTCCATTCATCCACTGCCTATGCATCTGTCTTGTTCCGTTTGTATCCGAATTTTGCTCAAGATTATGAAATGTATCTTTTTTTTATCTTGTCACCTTTATTTTGGTTATGTTTGTTTCTACTTACTTTGAGGTAACGCGATACAAGATCAAAAGGTGGTATGTAAAGGATCTAAGAGGATGGAGATATATTTGCGTTGCCTATTCCATTTTTTTTTTGGTTAATATGAGGGCAAACCAGTCACAAACTAACTACCACAAAAGTGAGGATATAAACATTCGGGAAAGTCAAGAACCATGTTCAGTTTCTTGTGAAACCAATAAACATATCAAATATATACATGCAATTAAAGTAAATCACCATATTATAGTTGCGCTTTATCCACTTATACCAACTCTAGCAGAGTCGCCAAATTTGTAATCGTCATGTTACATATGGAGCGGCTGGCCAGGCGATGTGCAAACTCAGAGTCAACATATATCAGCCTCCACATTTTTACTTTTTCTTCATTAAAACAATTTGATTGCCTCCAAAATCAAACGTTTTATCACACCATTTCAAAGCAATGGTGTACATAATTTTAACAAGTCATATGAACAAAATCATTTAATCGACGGCGTGTACAAATCAGATGTTCACGACGTGTTTGCCGTCGTCTTCTCCGACATGTGCATCGTCCCCTCCTATAACGTCCCTATAGAACGTATGGTCACCATTCACGTCTTCTTCCAAAATTCTCGCACCACTAGACGGCTAAGATGTTACCGCCAGAGAGTTTCGATTACGATCTGACGACTGGAAATCATTGCCACTTGGCACCAAGTAGGATAGGGGCTTCTTCTTGGAATCTGAAAACTTTCTACAGTAGTCCATCTCAATCTTTTAGGCCTAGATAGCTTGTGGAAAGAGGCCGTTTGGGGTTATTTTTTACGGAACCTCGTCAGAGGGCGGGGAGCTTCCGCATTGCATTAAGAAGAAGAGAATTGGTCCAGTTAATAGGGGAAACCGGACCCAAAAACCATACATGGCACGGTTACATAAGGGAAACCGACGAAGACCACAACAAAAGAGAGTAAAAACTTGGTTTCTTCTTACAAGATACATCTAATACAATTATTGGAGTACCCTAAAGTCTCCTCCAGTGCATCATCATGTGGCATGAAAGGCTGGAGATCATCTTTGACATTCTCCTGCTCAACATAGCGGAGAATACGTACTGGTTTGTTGGTCGGCAATTGTGTTTGGGTGTGCTAGATACTTTAATCCAATGGTCTCAAAATAGGCTTTTGCCCCACTTTACAGATAAAGCAACAGTCCATATATCCAACATCATAGTCCGAAATCAGAACGACGGCTGGGGCAATAGCAAAATCCAATGGTCTAGCCGGACCGGATGCTTTGGAATGTCTTCATGGACATTCAAGACAAACTCTGTGAAGTCATCAATACCAATGAGACAGAGATGAAATCTGTCCTACCTCCATGAACTACCATACCACTTTACCCAGAAATTTATATCATTTTACATATTATCATACCACTTCCTTTGGACGATGCCGTCTATCCAGATGGAGTGATTTGACATGTCTCTTGACCTTTGGATATGTGTGTGCCCGGAAGGTGTGCCCGGACATTCTCGCTAATCGGGCTCTCCTTTTTTCCAGTATCTTTACTGCTCTGGTAGATCTTTAGGAGCCTATATATTTTAGTGAGCATGGTTTGTAGATTTTCCTCGCGCGTATCCATAAGATCTAGACATTGCGTTTTGTCCCCGAGAAGTTTAGATAAATCTCATTTTAGTGGTTTTATCTTGGAACTTACTAGCCTGAAATATTTCGATGATAATTCCCATCTGGGATGGTTCTCGAAGTCCCAGTCAATTCTCTCAGAAAATGTTTTCTCTTCAAAATGTCTTTATGTAATCATGACCGTGTATATTTCCCTTGTATCTTAGTTCTTCATAGGAGCTCATGGCGTCTGGTTCAGGTGATCACGTTGGCAGTGATCAGAGTCTCAAGAACCCTTGCCACAAATCACACATGACAAAGGAAAATGTCAGAAGAAGATGAGAGGCACTTGCAAGTCATCTAAGGCTTCGAAGAAGAAGCCGACGGAAAACATTGAGAAAGCAATTCCTTCATAGACTGCTCAGTCTGAAGAAGTTGTTGCTACTAAAGATCTGGAAATGGCTTCCGAAGACCAACCACGAAAAGGTGGTTGTAGCCAAGAAAACTATACCACGGCCGCAATGTATGATCCTAGTGGTTATCGCACACCTCCTGGAGGAGAAACAACTGTTCGGCGAAACAATAGACTGTAGAGGATCACTAGTTATTGGGCCAATAAATGGTTCAATTACATCAAAATCCAAGAAAAGTATGTGGTCATGTTTGCTTTCATTCCTCCATGGGATATTGCATTGCTAAAAATTGCATTAAAGAAGGCGACCTGAAAGTGAGACCTCCAGCTCCTCCTAGTTCTCATCCCTCCACTACTAAGACTCCTGAGGATTTTGAAAAAAAAAGGTTCATTTATTTGAAAATAGTCCATCGATTCTGGAAAAAATCATCGACTTAAAAATATCATCAATTTTCAAAAGAGGTTTGCCGATTTGGGAATAGTTCATCGAGCTTGACAAAATCACGAATTTGAAAAAAGTTCACGGATTTTGAAAAAAAAACATGGATGGGGAAAAAGCTTGGTTTTGAAAAAAAAATCGCTAATTCGAAAGAAAGTTTGCGGATTTGAAGAAAT